CTACAAAACTAACTTCCTGTTTTTATTGGGTTCACCATAAACCTGTAATAGAAGCCCCTCACACTGTCAACTTTGAGCTTAATTATCTCAGTTCCTAAGCAAGATATCAAAAATCTGTCAACTGATAAAATGCGTGCGATATTATGATGAACAATTTCCGTTGACAACTTTTTGATATCTTTGAAAAAAATCGAGAAAAATTGGCTTAAAATTAAAGGTGGGGGACATGAAAAAAAAAATGTTCTCGAAATTCCGTTCAAAGATGCCCCTCGAGGAGTTGAACTTGTGAGGGCGATGATTGAGGGTGCGGCGCCGCTACCGACTGAGCCACGCGGGCAAAGAGAGAGCGCACGCCCGATTGCATACATAAAGGCGAGGACGACAGCTGTACGCAGCGTGACATTAAGCGTTGTACACCGTGACGGTAGAATGCATACTCTAGCTACAAAAAAACTACGAAAAATCTCCTGTCCCCCCACCTTTAAAAGTTAGAAGGCCCTTCTATCACAAATTTTGTATAAAAACGCATCAGACAAAATCCAATACTTTTGTGATTGACAAAAGTTGAGTATTGTTTTCCAAAAATCACTGTTTCAAATACTCGTTTTCAAACTCTCTGTATTTTTTCAACATTATTGACTTCTTTTCAGTACACTTACGTAACATGTCCCTTTGGACATCTCTTATCACATAGCTCTCCGTGCCATCCATCACGACAATTGCACTTTCCATTCTCGAGTTTTCCCTCATTCAAGCACGATTTGACGACATCGCAGTTCTCTCCAGAATAATGATTACCACAGATGCAGTGATCTCCGTTGTTACGGTATCTGTGCTGTTGAGTTGGAATTGTCTTTCGCCAGCAGGCCAAACGTTCACAGAATCTTCCGTCCCATGGTGGTGGACAGATACACTCGATTTCCTTCTTTCCAACAGCGATAGTTCCGTTGTGATGGCACATGTGTGGGGTGCATCTGAAATCATATAAATTGAAGTTTTTTTATTCGAAAAATTGAAATTTGGGATAATCAAACTTGGTATCTAACAGTGCTTTAAGTTTCCCAATTGAACGTCAATCCTTTGAGCTCAACTATCTCGGTTCCTAAAAGAGATATCGAAACTCTGTCTATTGATAAAATATTGGTGATATTAAGACAAACATTTTATCAGTTAACAGATTTTCAATACCTCTAATAAAGTCCGATATAATTGAGCTCAAAGTGAAAGAANAGGGTTTCGTTCTCCTAGAGGTCTACAGTAAATTTCAAAATTATTTCGGATGAATTTTATGTTGAAAAGAAAGCAAGCACAATAGAATTTTAGGAATAAAATATTATATTTTGAG